CTGTTTCTTATGTTTTTTTTCTCATGCAGAATTTTTGGAGTTTTTATCCCAGATTTTCTCATTCCCACACAAACTGTAGATTTGTTTTGCGACCTGAGCTGTTCTGACTTTTTTTAGCCTTGAGTCTTGCGCATCTTTTAATACCCAAAACATAACATTCGGACCACGGGTTGCCACGCAGCAAAAAAACAAACAAACAAAACTAGAAATGTGTTTGTGGACAAACACAAGCTGTTTCGGATATTTGAAATATTCCGTGCACATGATGAACAATTAGTGACGTCACTACAAATGTCATCTATAACAGCACATTATACGTACATATCAAGTTACAACCAAATCAAGCATTATAGTTCTGTAGATATACTGGTAGGCCTTTAATAGAAAAGTGCCCATTTAATGGACGTCACATGACATTTGATGATGCCATCACTTGAATTTTCATCTGTCACACATCCAGGTATGGGTAACAATCCAATCAGACCTATGGTTCTGTAGATATAGGCCTTAGAAAATGCTCTTTCAATGTGATGTCAAATGAAATGTGATGACGTCATGATGACGTTACTTCAATTTCCATCTGTAACACATCATCAAGGACCATCTTCGGCTGCTGGTCTTAGTGTGTCCCAAGTCTGAAGTTATATATCTGAAGTTTCAGGCATATGAAAGTGCCAAAGTGTATGGTTTGAAGAAAAACGTGTACAAAACCTATTGGAAACAAGTCAGGTGTGTTTACAAACACAAATGCCCTGCAACCGTGACTGTTCCCATGACATAACACCACTCTTTTAACATCAACTTACATGTATACCTTGGTCACATGGAACGTTCATTGACAGCATTAGTGTCTTCTGTAGGGTTTATATGAATTAATCCCTGTGATCTTAGAAAAAATACAAGATTTCTATTGTTTTAGCCACTGTGACCTTGACCCTTGACCTTTCGACCCCCAATGCAATAGGCCTATTTGGATTACCAAGAACGATCCACAAACCAAATTTGAAGTTCACATGTAAAGTATTTCTCAAGTTATCACGCTGACAAAATTTCTTTTGTTTTAGCCACTGTCACCTTGACTCTTGACCTTTTGGCCCCAAGTGAAATAGGCTTCTTAGGATTGCCAAGAACAATCCACAAACCAAATTTGAAGTTCATATGTAAAGTATTTCTCAAGTTATCGCGCTGACAAAATTATCGTTTCAGCCACTGTGACGTTGACCCTTGACGTTTTGGCCCCAAATGCAATAGGCTTCTTAGGATTACCAAGAACAATACACAAACCAAATTTGAAGTTCATATGTTAAGTATTTCTCAAGTTATCGCGCTGACAAGATTTGTCCGGACACACACACACACACACACCCAGTCGTTTTTTGCTATGCTTCCGAGGATTGGCTTTGTGTTTTCCTTTGTCCCTGTAATATAACACTCTCCCATAGACTAAGCACACAAACCTGCGTTCGAGGACAATAGGCACCTTCCTTCAAGGATCAATGGCCCCTTTGTGCTCCTTTTGTTGTCTGTCCTCAGGCGTAATGCCATGCAGGAACACACACCCACCCCCAGTCTTTTTTTTACTATACGCCTGAGGTCAACTATTGTGTTTTCCTTTGTCCCTCTAATATAACACATTCCCATAGACTAAGCACATAACCGTACGATCGAGGACCGGTTTTAACAATAGGCACCGTCGTCCGAGGGTCAAAGGCTCCTTTGTGCTCCTTTTGTTGTCTGTCCTTTTGTTGTCTGTAATACAATACAAGAGCCCCCACACACACTTGTTTTACATACGCTATGTGGACATTCCTTTGTTTTCGTGTAGTTAAGAAAACTCGGTACAAAAAATAACTTTACTTAAACTGTGAAAACTCTTTTAACCCAATTTTTTTTCTATGATTCCCTATAGTGTTTCTCTTCATTCTGCTACCGATAAACCTAACCCAAAAATGCCTCTAAACTTGTTTTCCAGAAAAGGGCAAAACGTTATGTGGACACGGCATAGTCCACATAACGTTAACACAACCTGCATTATGTGGACATCTTTTGTTCACAAGTCCACATAGGGAATGTAAGACAAACTCACACAAACTCACCCATACTTGTTTCACATGACTAGTGTGGACTTTCCATTGCTTTCGTGTAGTTAAGAAAAACCAGTGAAAAAACTCATTTTTCTCAAACTGTGAAAACTCTTTCAACCCAATTTTTTTCTATGATTCCCTTTAGTGTTTCTCTTCATTCTGCTACAGATAAACCTAACCCAAAAATGCCTCTAAACCTGTTTTCCAGAAATGGGGAAACACTGTGTGGACGTGGGGCAAGTCCACACAACGTCGGTGCTACCTACATTATGTGGACGTCTTTTGTTCGGAAGTCCACACTGCGTATGTAAGACAAACTCACCCACCCAAACTTACTCTTGAAAACTATTCTCCTGAGGACAATGCTTTGTGTTTCCCTTTGTCCCTTTAATATAACCCTGTAACATAGACTAAGCACACGAACCTACAACAGAGGACCGTTTAAAACCAAAGACCTAACACCCGAAGACTGAAAGGATCCTTTCTTCTCCCTTTGTGTGTCTGTCCTCGGAGGTTATGTAGAACATGTATACACACAAATGTGTATTCACCATTGATCGTGGACGTCCTATTGTCCCTCTTTTGTTTGTACAAGACCCTAATCGTGGACGTATGCTGGGAATCGTGAACGATATTGTTCTCTTTTGTTCTCTGGTATTTGTCGTCCGCGGTTTGAAAAGATGAACACATACATGCATACAGACACCCATACACAGTAACATATTGTTAATGTACCCTAACTTGGCACGGCCCCTAACGTGGCGCACTTTGATTTTTCCCCTGTAGCGCCTACCTACAGCAAAAGTTTGAACTAAAATTTCACAGAAAGTGACATTTCAATTTCTAAACACTCCCGTTCACAAATCACGAGTTTATCTATCCGTTTCATATATATATCATATATATCATATCCGTTTCAAAAATATATTTCGGCGTGATTTTCCAATTTTATTTCGAAGTGCACAGTGAACCCTTTAAAAACGTCCCCCAAAAATAAGCAAATAATTTTCTGACAAACTTCTAGTTGGTCATGTAAGAAGAGGTATTGGTTCATCAGAATTTATCAACTTTACAGAAATTCTCAAATGTTAATTTGGAATTTTCCGAGATTTATTCAAGTGCGCCACGTTGGGGAACACTCAGCCGACAGAGACTAAATAACAAGCATTAATAAGGTAAAAGTACCAGTATTTCACTGCATGAATTTTAAGTTTGTCAATGAAGTTTTGCAGCAGTACATGAGAAATGTCAGTGTAAATGTCGAAGTGCGCCATGTTAGGGAACACCAGGCACGGTTCTAGAACCAATATTTTGGGGGGGCTAGCAGGGTGGATCCAGAATTTTTTTCAGGGAGGCGTGCTGAAATGTAGACCGGTTATTTTTTCCAGACACTTAGGGGGGGGGGGGGGGGGAGAGGCCTCATGCCATTTTCAATGGGGAGCGCCCATAAAATCCTAAAATCATTGACACTATATTAACTAATGCACCCTTGTCACGACTATTTTTTTTAGGGAGACCGTTCGCATGTACATCACAATCCTTCTTTTTGCTAATGCAATTTTTTTTTTTTACGGAATTTATTTTGGGGGGGCTAAAGCCCCCCCGTAGAACCGCGCCTGGGGAACACCACTATACATACACACAGAAGAAATCTGCTATCGCAATATCCCCCTCTGGCTTACAGCCAGAGGGATAAGAATTGTTTTTACATTAAGGCAAAGACATGACTGTGTTTTATGTCCCAAGTCCTGATCAGAAAAAAGTGTATACATTCTATGGGATTTGGAATGAACAAAAGAAGAAGTAAAAGAAAATCTTAACAAAAGCAAAGGCTTTTTCTCAACTATGTGAAAAAGCCAAAAATAAAAATCAGAAAATAACAGCATTGCTGTTGAAACCCCTCAACCAGAGTGTCAAGTTATCATCCGGAAACCATTAACCTTTAACTCAACATGGTGACCTTGACCTTTGACCCCAGAACCAATCCCAACATGCCTGTAGCAATGGGCAACCCCCTACCAAAGTTAAACACCAAAATCTCAATTCTAACTCAAGTTATCATCCGGAAACCATTTACCTTTAACTCACCACGGTGACCTTGACCTTTGACCCTTTGACCCCAAAACCAATCCCAACTTGCCTACTCCCAAGGGCAACCCCTACCAATGTTAGACACCAAAATCTCATTTCTAACTCAAGTTATCATCCGGAAACCATTTACCTTTAACTCACCACGGTGACCTTGAACTTTGACCTTTTGACCTCAAAACCATTCCCAACTTGCCTACTCCTAAGGGCAACCCCCTACCGAAGTTACAATCCCAAACAACATTTCTAACTTAAGTTATCATCCGCAAACTAAAGCTGCCCGGACGGACGGACGGACGGACGGACGGTCTAGCCAGACGGAATTGTGGGGTGATAGCATTGTGTTCCCATTATCCCTTTTTCTAAAGATTCTCTTCTGGGGTGATGTTTTTCTATTTTAAAAATAGTGGGGTGATGTGTCCTGAAAGGAACATCATCCCACAAGGGTGGTATGGTCAGGACGGGCGTTCTAGCCAGACGGACTTGTGGGGTGATAGCATTGTGTTCCCATTGTCCCTTTTTCTAAAGATTCCCTTCTGGGGTGATGTTTTTCCATTGTGTAAAAAGTGGGGTGATGTGTTCTGAAAGGAACATCACCCCACAAGGGTGGTCTGGTCAGAACGGACAGACATACGGACAGACGCCGTAGGTGATGACAATACCCTTCGAGCCTCTCGGCTGAGGTAATGACTACCTGTACTACCATTTTTTTGTCTATCCATACATTACATATATTACTTTTTACGTATCGTACACCACATAAAATCTCCTCCACAGGAAAACAGTTAGTAAAAGTGGTATTAAAAAGCTCTTCTGATATATACCTACCAAAAAACATGGCAAACCAAAGGGGGAAAAGTCCAAATGAATCACCTCACCAGGAGAATCTGGAGTAATATTGAGAAAGGAAATCTGTTATTTCCAAGAAATATATGTATTAATTGTTTTGACTCAAAGAATCATCATTTGCCCATTACCAATAACCCCCACCCCCCTCTAAAATTGATAGCATACAATCATGAGACGAATTTGAATGAAATGTATATAACATTGATTGCAAAACGACGAAATTGATTCGTACGTTCGACAACTGCAGACGACGAAACTGAATTGTCTAAAATGAGCGACCAAAGACAAAATTGAACATGGGGTATGTAAGATCATGAATTTTCAAGACGAATTTGAAGTAAACCGTTTATGAATTTGAATGAAAACAGTTTTAAAATGTGCGGGAAAACCTATACTACATGTACTGTATGCATCACCTTGAATTGGACTATTACCCTGCATGTAAACCCTACGTGTGTGTGGCAGTTCCTTCACAAAAAAAAGAGACCCTATTGTTGACAACCATTCGTCCATGAAAGCAATCCTACAGTAAGAAGCATGTGCTACCTGTTGTCTAGTAAATGCTGAACACTAAAGGAAAAGTTTTATTCATACAGAATCAAGCATTGATTTTTACTTAATGCTTATACTCCACAGTAAATGCTTTTACTTTTTGCTTTAACTTCCTAGCATTCGCTAGTTTTTATACATACGACCCATTATCTATTTCTTTGAATTAAAAGTTAAAAATAGCATGTACAGTACATCTTTTATGACTTGAAGTAATAGTTTTGTTTTAAGACCAATTGTAAGGGACCTAAAAATGGAACATACAATTACCATTGGTTTTTAGAGGGCCAACTAATTCTAATACCATCCCCTACTTCAGAAAATGTATACTAATTATCATGCATACCAATTTATGCATGCAATTTCTTCCCTCTGGGTATTTTTTTTTTTTTAAATGGCAAGAGAAACAAAAAATGTAAATGTATATAAATAAATAGAAAATCAACTTTTTACCTGTCTGTTTTCTGTATCGTCTTGGAGAGACTCTATCTCCATGTCTGCTCCCATGAAGAATGCATCCCTGTTGAATCCATGTAAAAGAGAAATAATTTATGCCATCTTGATATGAATCGAATACCAGATAATTGCAGTGACAGCCTATGACAAGCACAAACAGTGACAATCAACCCTTCTGTGCGCTAACCAGTCGCTAGAGACTGGTTTATTACAGCAATAATTCTTTCATAACCGGAAAGCGGACACTTGAGGGCACAATTTCGACCCTCTTTTCATGAGGGTCACCATTTGCGAAATTTATTTCAACATTGTTTGAAGTTTTAAAAGCAAAATATTCTGTAAATATTCTTTAAGTGTCAGGATTTGGTTTTCATGCAGAAAAACACTCAAAATTTTGCCCGAGGACTTTTCAGAATTAGATGTTAATATAGACTTCATTTACGGATCAGCCATATCAAATTGAAAACGCGGTAAAGTCTTCATTTTTGAAACTTGTGAGAAGAAACAAAAGCAATGAAATAAAAGTTCAGTACACATTAATACATGTACCAGTCTGCTTTGACGAATAACTTAAATTTGTGATTAAACATACCTAATGTTTTAAGCCACAGTTAAAAAATATTGAAAGTGAGGTTTGGAATGCACTCCAATTAAAATAGTAAAATAGTTATAAAAGGCTTCCTCATGAATAAGGTCTATGGTCTCTGTGTGCCAGCAAGAGAGGGTGCTTTTTTACCACTTTTGAAAGCCCCGTGGATGGGACACACCATGTGTACGTACTGGTTCAAACACGTATATATACATGTATATTTGTTAATATGCACAAAGCCATAGCGTCTCTGTGTGAGCGTCGGGCACCACTTCTTCACAGCAGGATCCAGTTCACCATGGAACAAGAAAGAGATGGCAACATCTCATTTCTTGATGTTAGTTAGGGCCCATAGTTCCATCACCCTCCCCTACTTAGGCACCACTTCTTATCACATCCAACACATCCTCCAAAAGCATGGAATTCCACACAGCCCCTCTGAAGACGTAGAACCTGCTGACTTCACACAAGGATCGGTGTGACCCAGAATGCAGACCAGGGGTGTACAAGATTCCATGTCAATGTGGCAAAGTGTATATCGGCGTGACTGGCAGGGACCTCCCCACCATACTCAATGAGCACAAAGTCCATGGCAGGAAGGGAGACTTCGAGAAATCTTCCATCGTCAAACACTCCCACACTGAGGACCACCCGATCAACTGGAGCCAAGCAGAACTGGTACCCCCGATGCATTAGAGAAGCCATCGAGATCATCAAGCATATGTTCCTCATGTTCCCCAACACATCGGTTTCCCATCTGGCGGCCCATCCTGAAGTCCAAGTCCGATGGGTCTCCTATACCCTAGGACAACTTAGTTTCAGTTCTCGCCTATGGGTCACCTATATGCTGAGCTCCTTCCCCTTTGCCCCCTCACTGTGTACTGACACGCTCCAATGATCATCCAGCATCCCTCAGTCAACTTGCATCCTTCTCAGCTTTACCGGTTTCGAGCTTCACCAGTTTGCATCCTTCCCACGCCTCACCACACCCATCCTTATAACATCGCATCATCGTTCCAATCCCTCATTCTCCTGACGACGGGCAGAGCATACTGTTCGAAACGTTGAGTTCCTCCGGTTCTCTTCAGAACCACATATACTCACAAAAGAGATTTATTCACATGGTGCTAACGCAAACTTATCTCGTCTTAGTATCTTTCCAACATGCAAACCTTCAAATCTCATCTCCCTAATGTCACAGCCCCCCTTTAGAGGCACAAATTTATCGTTGCAATTAGGTTATATTTGTTTAGTAAAAATACCGAAATTCATGGAAAAGGACAAGGGAATATTGGGTTAGGGCACATTTAAGTTTGAAAAATTTTGTGCACAAGTCTATGGGGATGTCTCCCAAATGTCCAATCCAGGGTAATTATTGGCTGTTTCAGCAACCAGCCGAAACAGCCTTCTTTGTTTTCGTTAATTTTTAAAAAAATTTTATTCTTCTTTTTCAGCCATTCCCCATAGCATTCGTACATGTTTTCACAGTAGAAGGCACTTTGGGCACTAAATTCAATCCGGTTGACTTTATACTCGGCACACACTTACACCAGCATCTGAAGATGTGCGCTGAACATTGACGTCATCATGACGTCATCAGGTAACTCAAGCGTCACAATATAGGTGCATATTTTGAAGGCTGATATTTTCATAACTACAGGTTCGATTGGGTTGAAACTTGGTATGTACATGTACGTAAACCGGGATGTGTTATAGATGAAAATTTACGTGACGTCACGATGACGTCATCAGTTGACAAGTGACGTCATATTTAATGTGCACATTCTAACGGCCAATATCTACAAAACTACAGGTCTGATTGGGTTGAAAGTTGGTATGTACCTAGACTGGGATGTGTTATAGATGAAAATAGAAGTGCACCATGATGACGGCATCATGGGTTACGTGACATCAGGTTAATGATTAATAGATTTAATCTTTAAAAATCAATATAAATCAACCGTGAGAGACTTGCACATGATTTTTGCGGGAATTGATAGAATAATCCAGGGTTTTCATTTTTGATATGTGTAAAATCATGTGACCCTTGCTTCCGGTTGAAACCGGAAGTGCCTTATAATTAAAAATTGGTGAAAGATGTGAACTTGCTTTCAACGATGTATGCTTAAAGTTGTTATTTAACAACAACAAAAATAATTATAGATGAAAATTGATATTGATGTCATTATGATGTCATAATTCAAAGCCCTATGAGAATGTAATCACATATTATATGCTACCAGTTATTAAAAACAGAAGTACATATCCTTCCTGGATGGAACTTATACTTGAAACTTTACTGGTGACCTGTCACAAAAAGTTAACTGAAACAGCCCTGTGTTTGCCACATATGTCTAGTTAGCATTATTGTTATTGTAATTATAGTTAGTTGGAGTTATAGTTGTAATTATAGTTGTTTTATGGTGGTTAAAGTACGACTTTAACTATTATAGCTATTATTCATACCGTCAACGATAATTGTTCGTCTTGGTGAGTTTGTAGCATTGTGGGTTTAGTGAGGTACCTTAGTGACAAAAATGCCAAGGATCGTGACACGGTGGACAAAAGCACCATTTTTTTCACCAAAGCATCTCCATGGTATACCTTATCGAAAAAAAGACGGACGCAAAAAATTGGATGATGGGAAGGGCATGTATGACGTCATTATGACTTCATCAGCTAATTATTACATGAAATATATATAAATTGATAATATCTTCTGAACTACAACCATCACAACAACAAAAGTCGCATCAAATAAAAGGGAACAACAAGATCTTTCATTTGAGTGGTATGTCAGGGGTGTGGAATGTAGTAAAGGGTGGTTTTGGGGGCCAAAAAGCACTTTTTTGGTAAAAAAACCCTGATTTTTGGCTAAATTCATGTATTTTTGTTTGGCACCTTGTTTAACATGCAAACCGTATGTGTTATTGTGAGATTTTGTTTTGAAGTCAGAGGAAAAGGTTCAAATTCTATGCCAAAAGAGTTTTTGCAATTGATTATTATTTTTTTTAATTGATTATTAGTATCTTAAATGCGTACACTTGAAAAACATATAAATTGATAATATCTTCAGAACGACAAGCATTACAACAACAAATGTGGTATCAAATTAAAGGGAACAACAAGATCTTTCATTTGAGTGGTATGTCAGTGGGATGGAATGTAGTACAGGGTGGGTTTTTTGCCCAAAAGTACCCTTTTTGGTAAAACAAAAACAAAATTGGTGCTTAAATCATGGATTTGGGGTAATCATTTTGGCACCTTGTTTTAACATGCAAACCGTAAGTGGTATTGTGAGTTTTGGTTCTTAAGTCAGAGAGAATGGTTCAAATACTATGCCAAAAGAGTTTTCGTAATTGATTATTGGTATCTTAAATGTTTAAACTTATTCCAAAGATAGGTGGACAAAAAAATGTAACATAAGTTACAGTCGGGTGCCCATTCCAGTGGATCTCAGTTACAGATTCATCACATGTCTCGTTGTCGAGCTTGGAGGGGTTGGGCAATCTGCCGGGTGCATCTGCGATCACCATCATAGCACCAGGTTTGTAGACATCGTCGAAGTTGTATCCTTGTAGCTTAAGACGCTGCAAGCGGTGTGGTGTACTGGCTAGGATTTTGCGCCAGATCGTAACCAATGGTTTTAATGGTCAGTGACAACAATGAAGTTGGAGCCGAATGAAGTTGCAGCAGTGCCACAGCTTCCCTCTCGATATTCGAGAATATGCTCTGGGAAGAGGATCTATAGGCTCTTCGAGGAAAATGTGATGGGTTTACTTTCCTGGGTGTTGCCCAATCCTCTTTCAGATGCATCTACTTTGAGGATTGTTTCTATACCTGTGTGTCGGAGAATCGTAGCCAGGACTGAGTTCAGATGGAGTGTTTAAGGGTTGTAAAAGAAGCTTGATGGTCCTCTTCCCAGAGAAATGGTACATCTTTTCGAAGAAGATCGCTGAAGGGAGTAACTTTGTCTGCGCAATTTGGGGTGTACAGTGTGAGACATTGTTGACTATGCTAAGGAACCAGCAGTTTCCATCAGGGCTATGAGACATTCGGCCGCTCGTCATGCTCTTCAAGGGAGACCGAACACTGCAATGTCGTCCCGGTGATTGTTCCAATGCATCAAGGCATCTAGCTTATTTTGCCATCAATATTTTTTGGGACCATTATCTTGGCTTACTGATAAGCCGATGAATGGGCGACGAAAGCTGTTAACAACCAAATTGTATGTTGTCAGTTTTTTCAGACTGCCCTAGGTGAGCAGACCAATACTCTGCTGTTGACGTCTAGCTTGGAGGAGAACCTTTCCAGTGCAAATTCTGGCTTGAGCTCCTCAAGAGTGGGGATCTTTAGAAAACATTATGTGCTTAGCTGCTTGGGATCCGGACACATCCTGAACGGGCCGTCTTTAACTGTGATAGAGCTGCACCCGTCCGTGTGATGGGAGACTTTTCGTATGACCCAGCCTTTCT